CCCCCCCCCCCCCTGCCACTGGGTATGCGACTCCCCCTCCAGACCTGCATGACGAACCCAGGGACAAGTAACCACAGGATGCCCCCCTGTCTCCACAGAACACCAGATCTCATTTCCCCACTCAGCTGGCCGGATACAAAGGTCACCCCTGTAGCCGCCTGGAAGTTCCAGCTCTGGGCATTTCCTGGGAGAGTTGTTTGAAGACACAAGACGCAGGCCTTGGACCCACTGGGCTCCTCCTCTGCCCCCAGGACACCCTTGGGCAGCCCACCAAGTGCCTTCCCCTAGGCCCCTCCCCCAGAAAGGCAGGGCTGTTGCTTCAGAGGCGTCCATTGAGCCCTCCCTCTGGCCACCCCTCTGCACCCCCCTCTGACATCCTGGCCTCCATGCCTCCCACCCACCCTCCAGCTGTAGCCAGACTCCCAGGAGTCAGGGGAAGTCTGTCTCTTGACCTAAAGACTAAGGCTACCTGCCTCGGCCCCCTGGGCAGGTGGCTTACCTGCGGCTGTCTCTCGCATCCCCACACCATGTCTGACTGCCCCGAAGGCTGACACAGGCACCCACCATCTCTGGGTACCCCCGCTTACCACCTCCCCTGGGACGCCGTCCCGAGCACCTGCAGCTGGGCCTGAGCCTGTGTGCTCACCCCTGGCAACTCGTCAGTGGACTCTTCCGGGTGCTGTGGCACAGGCCACAGGCCTGATGGGGCCGTGACCAGCATCCCCCCATCCTCCATGGAGATGGTAAAAGAACTTGACTTGCAGTACAATTGAGGGCCAGGCCAGCGGGGCCCAGGAACCCACAGGATGTAATGAGGCGTTCCCCGGCTCCTCTTGTCTCTAGCCATTATTCGGGCTGGACGGCCTCTGGTATGGATTGAGGTGTGGTGGGCAGCTTGTCCTCAACCGTATGTCCTGTGAGAAGTGAAATGGGAAAACGGGGTGCCACGACCAGAGAACAGAACAGGTAGAGAGACAGACAAGACCCGAATCTCCCCACTGGTCAGCCGGAGGGCTCAAAGCCAAATGCGCATGGCTACAAGCCACAGCCGGGCCTGGACGCCTCCCTGGGCCCACCTTCCTGACCCCTGCCCACAGCCTCAGCTCCTAGGAGAGGTCCTTGGTGGTTCCCCAGCGGTGAGGTGAGACGGTGTCTGCGGCCCCATCCTGACGACAGCCATGGCCCCTGCGCAGGGCGGCTGAGGAATTAAAGTTCAGCGCCAGGAGAGCTTTTCTCCTGTGAGGAGTCGACATGCTTCCTTTTTTTCTCAAAGTGCGGATGGTGTGATGGACCACGGTCCTCTCCACTGGGGCTCAGGAAGCACGGCAGCCTGGAAGCTCAGCGGGGCCAGGCGGGGGTCCCTCACGTACACACTCCCAGCCCCCCTGCTCTCAGACCTCAGTGGGGAGTCAGTCCGCGTGCTCTGAGAGCAGGCGCACGTGAGGCAGGTCAGGGATGCGGGGCAGAAAGCCACAGGTGGCCTGGGCAGCACGTGGGACACAAGCAGGCTCTGGAGCACAGCAGAGCTGGCCTTGGCACTCGGGGCCTGGCAGGAGAGTGTCCCACCTGCCCCACTAGGAGCTGTGTGCGTGCTGATGGCAGCGACCCACGGGCAGGGACGGGCTGTGGGTCATCCGCACAGCCTCGAGGGAGCTCACCCCGCGCCTATAGGCTCTTAGCCGCCGGGCTGCAGGCAGCCAGTGGCTAACCACCATGGGGCGGGGGGGGCGGGAATGTCACCCCGCTC